TCTATCCATCCATCCATCTATCTATCATCTATCTATCTATCCATCTATCCATCCATTCATCTATCCATCCATTCATCTATCATCAATCTATCCATCCATCCATCTATCTATCCATTCATCTATCATCTATCTATCCATTCATCTATCATCTATCTATCCATTCATCTATCATCTATCTATCCATTCATCTATCATCTATCTATCCATTCATCTATCATCTATCTATCCATTCATCTATCATCTATCTATCCATTCATCTATCATCTATCTATCCATTCATCTATCATCTATCTATCCATTCATCTATCATCTATCTATCCATTCATCTATCATCTATCTATCCATTCATCTATCATCTATCTATCATCAATCTATCATCTATCTATCATCCATCCATCATCTATCCATCTATCTATCAATCCATCTATCCATCCATCTATCATCTATCATCCATCCATTCATCTATCCATCCATCTATCTATCTATCATCTATCAATCTATCATCCATTCATCTATCTATCCATCATCTATTTATCTATCCATCCATCTATCTATCCATCCATCATCTATCTATCAATCTATCATCCATTCATCTATCTATCCATCCATCCATCTATCATCTATCTATCTATCCATTCATCTATCATCCATCCATCAATCTATCCATCCATCCATATATCATCTATCTATCCATCCATCTATTCATCTATCTATCCATCCATCTATCCATCTATCTATCCATCCATTCATCTATCTATCCATCCATCAATCCATCCATCAATCTATCATCCATCCATCAATCTATCCATCCATCCATCCATCACCCATCTATCCATCCATCATCTATCTATCCATCCATCAATCTATCATCCATCTATCCATCCATTCATCTATCATCTATCTATCATCCATCCATCATCTATCTATCCATCCATTCATCTATCTGAAATATAAATACACACGCAGTATAGGTTTTGAAAATATTTACATGTATATATTTAAATTCATAATAAACAATATAAACAATTTTTCTTAAATATATACACGCATATGTGTGTATTTATATATAAATGAAGAGTTAATTTGCAAAAACAGATAACAATTTTTAAAAATCATGTTTTTTCATTGTGCATTCAGAATTAGCTTTATCAGAATTAGATTGGAATATTCATAAAATAACCCGACTGCAGTTTGAGATTAATTGGAATAAATAATAATTCTAATTAATCTTAATCAAACGGCAGTTGGGTTATTTTATTATGTAAAAAATAACAAATGCCACTTACTAACACAATAAAACATAATTAAAAAACAAAAATTATCGGTTTTTGCAAATAAATTCTTAAAATATATACAGTACACACATTATGTAAACAAACACTTATTTTGGATGCGATTAATCACAATTAATCGTTTGACAAGACTAACAAAGTTTTAAAAAGAAAAAAAACAGTTCGCTCACAATAACGGCAAGCTACCCTGCGGTGCCAATATAATCCCGAAAACATAGAAGAGTCCCATGAGCAGATTGAGCTTGGCGGTCTTTTGAGGGATCTTGGCGTAGCACTGGCGGCGAAACTGCCTCTCCAGAGGGAAGGCCATGGGCAGCGTGAGCAGCGGCAGAGCCATGCTGATGGTGTAGCGCGTGGCTAGGATGCAGAAGAGCAGGTAGGGCACGAACAGCAGCAGGTTGTAGATGACGTAGGAGAGCGTGGGCCCCAGCAGGATGGCCAGGGTGACGATGCCCGCCTGCTTGTCCGAGTCCATGTCTCGCGTGTTGTTGCTGTGCAGGATGGCCTCGGTGTTGAGCGCCAGCGGCACGGCGTACACCAGCGGCAGCACCGACAGATAACCCACCTGCACTGCGTGAGAGAACATCACGGCCAGGGGACCGAAGGTGATGAGGATGACCACGTCCCCCAGAGCCACGTACTTCAGTCCGATGCCTGCGGTTAAAGAGCAAGAACAAGTGAGGAAACACCGTATGGACGGATCACGTTTGTGAAAAATTACTGCAAGAAATCAAGGTCACACTTCAGTTTGGGGACCAAATCTTACTATCAGCTACATCCTTTGCCTCAGTAAACTCCTAATTTGCTGCTTGGTAATAGCTAGTAAGGTAGGTATGTAAAATATGCTCATGCAGAATTAGGTTTTAATAGGTGCTTCACGAGTACTAATGAACAGCCAATACACTAGTAATATGCATGCTTATAAGCAACTAGGTAATAGTGAGAATTGGACCTTAAACTAAAGTGTTACCGAAATCAACAATATCCAAATGCAGCAGAACTGGACATTATAGATTAAAAACAAATATTTCACTTTTTGACAATGTACAGTATATTGATAGCTCTGTATTCGCTCGATAACTGGCTTTAAAAGGTTCTCTAGAGTTTGTTTTTCAGTTCGATTTTGACCAAAAAGCAATGCTTATTTGATGCACATAGCTGACCGCTTCACTGCATTAAAACATTCAGCTCTACGTGAAATTTTAAAATAAAATGCAATCTTCATTCGATATAGTAAAACTGCTTGTTATGCGTCTTTTATTTCTGGATGATAGCATTCAATGCGTTTATGCAAATGAATTTAATAATACACTATAGAGCTGTTATTACCAATCAAATGAAACCATTACAAAAAAAACTCCATCTTGGCACTGAGATGCATTTATGCAGACTGGCTGATGCAGCTCAGAGGTGTCATGAATGCATTTAGACTGAAACAAAATACATAAGATTAAAAAAATTACACTGCTGAAAACTGAAATACGAAATGATTCAATTAAATTATTTTTGAAATATGAAACTAAAACCGCCGATAGGTGTCAGCAAATCCCTCTCTTCAGGAGCGAGTCACTGAATCCTTCATGCAAATGATTTGTTCAAAACATCTGATTCATTCAGAAATGAAGCAAGTCACTGGGCCGGTCCCCAACACACAAACCAGCGTTCAGTATTTGGCCCAAGTCTTCAAGTGTGTACATCACGGCCAGGGGACCGAAGGTGATGAGGATGACCACGTCCCCCAGAGCCACGTACTTCAGTCCGATGCCTGCGGTTAAAGAGCAAGAACATGTCAGGAAATAATGCTTGAACAAATGCCTGGGCCCGTATTCACAAAACATCTTCAGGCTAAAAGTAGCTCATAACTAAAAATATATTATTTACTATATTTACATCAGTCTCCTGTTTCAGTGCTAGGCTCCCACATCAAAGAATGACCATGACTCCTCTTCTTTATTTTAATGTTTAAATTAGACTTTGAATATCTGGGCCCGTATTCACAAAACATCTTCGGGCTAAAAGTAGCTCATAACTAGCTGATTTAGGAGAAAATCTTAAAAATAATGGGCAAAGCGTTTTAGCTCTAAAACTAGCTCCTAAATCTGTGAAAGGTTAGGAGCAGTGAAGAGGACTCCTAAGCCACTAAGACCAAGCCACAAACTATCCTAAAATAGCTGTTGCTGGCAATCTGTCTCTGAACGCAAACATTTGAGAAACATTTGAGGATAAAGAGCTTTTAAAAAGGTATCACCAGCAAAACATGGTCAGGTCAAAGTGTCTGAATACATTTTGGTCCCACATTTTACTGGTAGTCCACTGTATGAAGAATTGTTGGGTATTTGTCACAGTTTACTTTATTTTGCTATCCTCACTTACATAAATGAACTATAGTGTCCTGCATCCACTAGTAAAAAATATATCTGGTGTCTAAATCATTTTTGGTTTGGACAATATGAAGTATATTTATAGTTAAGCATTTGATAGACGACAGGCTTTAAACAATTCTCTAGCAGTTGCTGCCAGATTAATCCAATAAGCTTTAAACAAGTAAACATGGTAATGATAAGCAACATATACTCACTTAAATTTCACTTAAAGCTGAAATGAATTGAACGACTCTTTGTTTTGCGGGTCTCCACTTAAGACAATTTTGTTCATGATAGTGTAGATCCCAACAGAGATTTGCTTTGTAATTCTTCAAACGCTCCACATGCTCTGGGGATTTGCTTACTTTGCCTGCTTCACTACAGTTAACCATGTTTGTTGTTAGCACAAGCAGACCAATTTGAAATTAAAATGCAACTCAGAAATGTAGAAACTCCCATTTAGATGCATTTACACAGACTGATTAAAGCAGCTCAGAGTTGACATGAATGCATTTACACTGCTATACTGAAACACAAAATTAATAATAAAGAAAATTATATTTTTAAACATGAAACTAAAAGTCCCTGTCCAAGACCACAAGTGTGTAGAGCTTTTGATTGTCTGCCGAGACACTTATAACTTTTTTGTTTTTTATACATTTTTTTATAGATCTTTATTTACACATTTTGATTTTCAATACTTTGCACTTTAAAATCATAGTAGCTCTTATGTAACAGACGGCACGTTTTAATTGTCCTGCTTGAAAAAAGCAGTTGCAAACATTTTACAAAATACTCATTTGTGTACCTAAAATGTGAAACTGTTTTACTACCAAACGATATGTAATATCTAATTAATTTAATTTACACTCGATTTTATTCGGAATCATGCCATTTCAGGGCACATGAACTCAATAAGATACAATTAGCCTCTCTATTAGACATGGTGTGGATTTAGTGTGCGTTTAGAGTGCCGAGCTTCACAATTTATCAGATCTGGGACAGTCTTGCATATTTTATGGAATATATATTTTGTAAAGTGCACGATCACTGCTGTAGTGTACACACACTCTGAACTGGACAGGAGCAGGAAGATAGAATTGTGATTCATATGTGAAGCCATTTCATCCCTAACACTCATGTTAGGGTGTTAGGGATCATGACTATGGGAACATGTTTCATCTCCAACAAAATTAATGTGACCATATCACCCAGCCCTATACGACAGCGTTTTAGTGCCATGTCAAAAAAAAAAAAAAAATTATGAGAATAAAGTCAAAATATTTCAAGAATAAAGTTGAAATGATGAGAACTAAATCGTATAAATTAAAAAGGAATAATATTTTGAGAGTGTAGCCTATATTGCACATGCAAATGGCCCGGATTAGGAGCACCGGGAGGAAGTTGCCAGGCCTCCGGAATTGATCTGAATATATATGGGATTATTAGTAGAAATCATACCATGTGTCATACTCGCAGGGACAGTATGCTTGGAAATAATATTTCACTTTGACTGCATTCATTATTTGTAGGGTGCCACCCACCCAATAATAGCAATAAGCTTTTGGTACTTTTAATATAAAACTTAGTCTCAGCTTTCAAAATCTGTCCATTTTAAAGTGAAATTCAAACAGTGTGTCTTACAATAATGTGTTTTTCAAGCTCTTTAATGTGGTGTGACCGATCGTTATTCATGTGAATCAATTCATTAAATTATGCGGTTTTCTTTTTGAAAATTCCACCACCTATTCCGCAAAACTGTCTGTCGCGTCCAACCTTTCATTCCTCACATGCATTTAGTTAAAAACAACAATAAAAAGTTCAAAGGTTGGAGTAACTTACGGTTGTCTTTTCTGAGGTATATAACGTTAAGTGACTATTCACAAGCTGTTTTACTCGTGGTGTATAATACAGTAAATGATTGGAAATAATATTTCACTTCTTCAAATCCATTCATCATTTGTAGCGTGCCAGCAACCCAGAAATTGCAATAATTTTGTGCTTCACTAGTTTTAAATATAACACAGCCCAGCTTACAGATTCTGTCAGTTTTATCATGAAATAAACTATAAATTATAGAATGATAGCATGATAAATCAAGTTATAGCATGATATAAACGTGAAGGAACATCAGAAGGCATGGAAAAAATCAGTATAGTCTAATTTAATGAAACCGGTCTCATTAATCGTAAAGATGATCGATTCACATGCCGCTTAAACTAATGTTGCATGACAGATTGCTGTATTTGCCTCGAAGCGTGTGAAAAACATTATTGTAAGACATTGTTTGTATTTCACTTTAAAACTCACAGAATTTGAAAGCCGGGAATTCTCCCGTTGCTCCCAATCCGGGCCATTTACATGCGCAATTACAGGCTATACTCTCAAAGTATAATAACTTAGTAACACTTTTTGATAGTCCACTTCAGACATACTACTAACAGTAAGTAACTTTAACTACATGTTAACTAGCAGTCATTAGAGTATTAGTAGACTGTCTGCTTGATATCTGCGAACACTTTACTTTGATGGGTCCACAACATACCGACTATGAGAAACTTTGCAAGTATATATCAACTTATTCTACTAACCCTAAACCTAACCTAACAGTCCACTCTGAGAGTTAGTAGACGTGTAGTTGTGAATTAATGAGCATTAGTTGACGTGTAGTTGCAAAGCTACTTAGAGTTAGTAGAATGTCTAAAGTGGACTATCGAAATAAAGTGTAACCAATAATTTTAATGTTGTAAATGCTACATCTTAAAGGGTTAGTTCACCCCAAAATGAAAATTGTCATTAATTACTCGCTCGTGTCGTTCCAAAACTGTAAGACCTTCGTTCATCTTCAGAACACAAATTAAGATATTTTTGATGAAATCCGAGAGCTCTCTGACCCTCCATAGACAGCAAGGATACGAACACGATCAAGATCCAGAAACATATCAAGGAGATCGTTAAAATAATCCATGTGTCATCAGGGGCCCTATTTTAACGATCTAAGCGCATGGTCTAAAGCACATGGCGCAGGTGCACTTAGGGCGTGTCCAAATCCATTTTTGCTAGTAAAACAGTCTGCGCGCCTGGCGCATGATCTAAAAGGGTTGTCCCTATTCTCTTAATGAGTGTGTTTTGGGCATAATGTGCAATAAACCAATCAGAGTCTTGTCTCCCATTCCCTTTAAGAGCCAGTTGTACTCGTGCCATGGCGGATTCGCTTTTTACACAGCGAAATTTGCAAGTGAGTACCCCAGAACGTAAATCAACAATCAGCGTTGTTTAGGTTTAGCATGAGCGCACTTTCTACTGAACATAAACTACACTGATTACGTTGATTACATTCTGGGGTACTCTCCAAAATGGCATTAGACGGTAACTCAGGGAGAAGAATTGTTGAATAAATTATGTTATTTTCTTTGCGCACAAAAAGTATTCTCGTAGCTTCGTAATACTACGTTTGAACCCCTGATGTCACATGGATTATTTTACCGATCTCCTTGCTACGTTTCGGTGCGTTGATCGAAGTAGTTCCATATGGAGGGTCAGAGAGCTCTCGGATTTCATCAAAAATATCTTAATTTGTGTTCTGAAGAAGAACGAAGGTCTTACGGGTTTGAAACGATATGTGGGAGTAATTAATGACAGAATTTTCATTTTTGGGTGAACTAACCCTTTAATTCTGGTAACTGACTTTATTCTCAAAATATTATGACTTTAATCTTTGATTTTTTTTTTTACGTGGCACTAAAACTCCGTCGTACTAACCTCAACGAATGCATGAAAACCAATCAGCGTATTCACCTCCAGTGTATAAAAAAGAGCTGGATAGTCCTCCGAAATAAATGAGAGCTAGATGCTCTAGTTTGAGGGTGGAGAGGAAGTAGAGCAGAGTGGCACAGAGACATCCAGCGGAGTACAGCGCCGCGCCGAACATCACCACGTCCTGCGGCTTCAGGATCTGATCCACCAAAGTCCTGTCGTCGCTCTTCTTATGATCAATTCCCTTCGAGAAGTCATAGTAGGTGTTCACCAGGTTCCCCGCCCCGTGGACCACCAAAACAGCCACGGCACACACCAGGAGGATGAGCAGGTCCACCGAGCCCTCCAGCTTATAGGCCAGAGCGCTGCCTAGAGCCACGGGGGTGAGGGAGGTGCTGAAGCTCCACGGCCTCAGGGCCAACACGTACGCCGCGCATTTGCCCTGAACATCCAGCGCCATGGGGGCCACGCGGGACAGACGGCTGCTGTGCTTCCGCTCCACTCCCGACGGCTTCGTCCCATTCAGTCCGTTAGATCCTGAAAGCATGAAGGTCTCTCCGTCGGTCTGCTTCAGGCTGGAGGCCATCGTCAGCTCAATCCACGAGCGCTTCAGAGAGGTCAGAGGACGCAGCTGTCCAATCACACACACACACAAAAACATCATGAGAACAGCAAACAACGACACCAGCAGCAGAAGAGCTAAAGCTACTTCCAGGCTTCTCAGAAGCAAAGTCGTCATACTTGCATAAACTTCTAAATAGCACATTAGTGCCGCCCACTTTATCATTCCCATTCATTTTTCCCCATAGGGATTTAACCTTTGTGCGACCTTATGGACATTTGTCCTTTTCGGTTTTGTTTTTTTGATCATTTTGCCTGTGTTAATGCCAACTGCATAAATTTTGGCACATGTGTGTATTTTTATTGGAATTTTAATATTTCGCCCACTTTTGCGTTAATAAATTATTTTACACTAGGTACAAAAAATAGTTCCTCTCAGGACCTTAAGTACAAAAATGTCCTCATTGAAATCCATTCAATTTTACCTATGCAATTTTTAATCCCAGGGCCATTTAACTATAAAATGATAACATTTGTTAATAGGCTTTCATTCTGTTGGCAAGGCTTCAAAATTGAACATTTAAAAAAAAAAAATTACCTGATGGTGCCATTTTCTCAGGTTTGGCCTATAAAGCAAATACTCAAATCTTTCCTGTTTTCTGCTTTTGCTGATTTATAGAGCTAGTTGGATAAATTATGCAGCTATAATTGTGTGGGTGTGTTGGTATGGATGTCAGAGTGGGGTTTGTATGTGTGTGCGCACCTGTAATGTTTGAGAGTAATTATACTGTACTGCAAATCACAAATCCCACCGCTGTGTTCACCAGCGGCGCTTTGCTGGAATCTAATAGGAAAAGTTTGCATCCAAACAAAATCTTTTCTTTTCATCTCATTTTTTGAGATATCAACCTCGAATTTGGAACACAACGTGTTTAGGTTTATGGCTTAGATTTTCTAGCAATTGTTGTGTTCAACATGTTTTATAAAATATATATTTTATATAAAAAATTGCTCAAATAATTTTCATAAACCTCTATAACATTTTTACTACTTTTTTAACTTCAACAATAATCTGTCAAGGGTCTTCTTTAAAATGAGACCAAACATAAGTCTGTTCTCCAAGCTTCAAATTTTTATGACAGTTTTTGGACATGGACATTTTTGTCCTTTATGAACCTATGTGGAACTTTTTTTAATTGACGAACAAAGGTTAAAATGAAAAGTCTTTGTAAGGCAAGGCAAGTTGGTTTATATAGCACATTTCATACACAATGGTAATTCAAAGTGCTTTACATCGAGACAGAGAGCATTTAGGCCACACCAACCCTTAGGACAATCCAACCCTCTCCATTGACTTTGTATAGCGGTAAGTCGATTATTTTAGTAATCGAGTATTCAACCGATTATTCCATCGATTAATTGGATAAGTCATTTTTGTTTAAAGAGCAATACTAAATATACAAGAGATAATAAGATAGGTCTCTTAAAATAAACAACTAATTTGTTTCCTTTTTAGAAAAATGAACTTTTTTGAAATTGCAAACCCATTTAATGCATTGAATTGCCAAATTACATTAAAAATGCAAATATAAATATATCACTAAAAAAAATTAAATTAAATAAAAATACAAAAATCTATTTCACATTACTTTAAAAAAGGTAAACATTACAACCTAAAATTAAGGCATAAATCAAAATAATAGTAATAATACCCAAACATTGCATTTATGTCATGCAACGTAACTTTCACGTTTCAGCCTAACTAAAGCTGGAGCATAACATGAGCCTTTACGGTCTTCTTGGAAGGCTTTGTGGCTTTTGTGAGAGGCAAACATCAGTGGACAGGAAGGTAACTTGGAACAAGAACAAGAGATCGTACACAATTTCTAAACACATTTTTCTGCAACATGAAATTGAGTTATTTGAAGAATAAACCCTCTTAAATGTCCCTATACGTACTGTGAGTGAGAGGGAGAGGGAGAGAGACTTATTTCTGATATTCTTCATAGTCTGTGTGCTGGTCAATTCACAGCAATGATAGAAATTAATCCGTTCCAATAAGTTTAAATTGATTTTTACATTTTACGGGCATTTTTACCTTTATAAAGCCTTTTTTTTTTTCTAAAAGTGTGCATCATCTTTTGAGTCAAATTCTTACATTTAAATCAATTAGAATAATAAGACATTTGGGCTGTTACCAAACAAATGATATTAGTATCAACTAGGGCTGGACAATAATTCAATATCAATATGTATCACGATATAATTTCTCTCAATAACGGTGATACGGTTTTTAAACACATTTCCGATGCATTTCCCATACATTGATGTATTTGTGGCGTTTGACTTCGTTGAATAAACATGAGCACTGCACGTTTCAAAATCAAAACACGGCGCAGGTGTTTTATATGAATGCATCTCTGAAGGAAACCGACTGTCTTCAGAAAAGCTTCGATAGCATTTTCATTTGATCTGATAAAGTAGTGTTCATGAGCGGAGCTGCTTTGCTTACAGCGTTACCGGGGAAAGCGCTAGTTCTGCCGCTCTCACAGCGCCTCCTGCTGGCAGACAAGCACTTTGCATCTTCAATAAGCCCGTCTCCAGCAACATCTTTTTGTTGTAGCTTTTTTTTTTCTGCAGCAACTCGGAGCACTTTTCATACTCTTTATCCTGGCTGAAGCACATTTGTTTCAATCTATAAGAATCAGCCTACACTACCAGACACTACCAAAGGTTTTCGAACAGTACGATTTTTAAGGTTTTTATTTTTTTTATATATATTATTTTTTTAAGAAGTCTCTTCTGCTCACCAAGCCTGCACTTATTTGATCCAAAGTACAGCAAAAACTGTAACATTATGAAATATTTTTACTATTTAAAATAACTGCGTTCGGTTTTAATATCTGTTAAAAATCTGCATCATTACTCCAGTCTTCAGTGTCACGGGATCTTCAGAAATCATTCTAATATGCTGATTATTATTATACTAATTATTATTATCAATATTTAAACCCGTTGAGTACATTTTTTCTTTGATGAATAGAAAGATCAGCATTTATCTGAAATAAAAAGCTTTTATAACATTATACACTAGACCATTCAAAAGCTTGGAGTCAGTATGGTTTTTCTCTTTTTTGGAAAGAAATTAATACTTTTATTTAGCAAGGATGCTTTAAATTGATCAAAAGTGATGATAAAGACATTTATAATGATACAAAAGATTTACATTTCAGATAAATGCTGTTCGTCTGAACTTTCTATTCATCAAAGAAACCTGAAAATATTCTCCGCTGTTTTCAACAAATATTTGAGCAGCAAATCAGAATATTAGAATTATTTCTGAAGATCACGTGACTGGAGTAATGATGCTGAAAAGTCAGCTTTTAAATAACAGGAACAATTTACAATTTAAAATATATTCATATAGAAAACAGTTAAATAGTAAAAATATTTCAAAATGTTACTGTTTTTGCTGTACTTTGGATCAAATAAATAAAGTCTTGGTGAGCAGGAGACTTCTTTAAAAACATTAAAAATCTTACTGTTGCCTATAGTAAGTTAAAAATATTAATAAGGTGAGTCGGAGACGATTATTTGACAGTGATTTCACATTTCTTGTTTGTATGAAGGCTAAATACAAATAAAAGGTGAACATTAATTTATTTGTGCTGGGTTTTTTTCTAAAATATTATATAGTTTTATAGAAGGAGGTTTCATAGAGTTGGCAAATTCATTTTTCATAAGTTTGTATGCACAGACATCTGTTGTGGTGTTCTTGCCCGTTTTTATGAGGCTTTTTTAAAATAAGTGTTCATATCGATATCAGAATTATATCGTATCAACTGAAATTAAGAAATATACCTTGATATCACTTTTGGCCATATCGTCCAGCCCTATTATCAACAAAATTAATCTTTGCAATGCAGAGGAAACGCAGAAGCTGCATCTGAAGAGGCACTTAGATGTAGGCCTATTAACACTACTTAAATCAGCTCAGAGGGACATGAATGCATTTAACCTGCAGTTACAAATGCATACATAATATTTTGTTATTTATTTGCAGGGTTGTGCGTCAGTATTAATGGTCCGTGGGGAAACACAGTGCTACGTGTGTAGTTACAGTATATGGACTAAACGAAGCCTATTTGCCTAGATGAATTTTGTATTCGAGTTACTCGAGGAATGGTTTCAGCCCTATAGCGGGAAGCTGCCTCCTTGTCACTTCTGACTTATAACAAAAAACAGAACAATGTCTAAAAGCTGCTGTGTGAAAGTGTTCAGTAAAGAAGAAAAAACAGGACTACGTTTTCATAAGCCGTCGACCCAAAAAAACAAGCATTTAAGGACACAAATAGTTGTAGATGTCGAGGTATTTCACATTGGGCCATTCAGTTGGATCATTTCTCAAACAAAAGGAAGGTTAGGAAAAGAGGCACTGACAGACCAATAACATTTATAAATATATCTCCTCCTCTCAGATTCACATAATCCTGTCGCGGATTACGTTTCCCTCCAGTGGGCGCAGTTCTCAGAGTAATAGACACGTTGCGCTCTACTTCGGTGTCCTAAATGCTTGTTTTTTGGGTCGACATCTTATAAAAATGGCAGTTCTGGGTTTTTTAGCTTGTTTACTGTACACCTTGTCACACAGCAGCTTTTAGCAGCTAAAACAGGTCACTAAATGTTGCTAGATGACCTCATAAAGACCTCATGGATCAGTGGGAGAGTCTCGGGATGTAGATAAGGTTTGTCCAAAAAAAAATTATAAAATAAATTTGATCGTTGCTATAGGCTTTTGAAAAATAAAAACAAAAAGTCTCTAAAGGGGTGAAGAAGTCACTAAATCTAGTGGCAAAATCACTAAATTGCCAACACTGGCACACTGACGACAACACAAGTTATTAATATTTCATTGGTCCTCTTGCATATGGTCATAATTTCTTTGTACGACAGCATGGCCAAAAATTATGACCGCACAATTTGGCATGTTTCATTGCATTATTAACCACAAATAAATTTCATACGGGCCCTGATCTCTTCTGGAAGCTGGTTCCAGCTGCGGCGGCATAATAGCTAAAAGAGGACTAGAAGCCACGCACCAAACCAAGCCGCTATGAGGAGAATTAGCATTCAACATTACAGACTTTGATTTGAAGCAATTCAAGTCACGTTCCACAGAACGCGACCATGGAAAAGACAAAAGGTGCTATAATTAGAGAAACAAACTACAATCCCATGAAGCATTGCAAATGATAGAATCAAATAGGGGTTGAACGACTTCTGATATTTTAAAGTCGACTTTTAAGTGATGAAAGTCGAGTCGAAGTCGGCTAGTCGCTGAGGACGTCATTCACACTAGAACCGCCAGGGGTCGCTGTATACCTAAAACCGCTAGCGGGTCAATTTTACCCACGCACATGACAGCGGTTTCTGAATGGCTAAAGAACATGTTATTTCACTGTATTATGCTACTGTCCTCACAAAGAAGTGTCTAGAGTCATGAAATGATTATGTCTAGTACTCAGCTATATTTTTGTCCTGTTGTTTTATGTTCAAGGCTTTTTTATGAAGGCTACACTAGTCACTATTCATAACGGTCAATATGAAGCTAAACAAGCCTGCACTGACAACAAGAATTAGAAGGAAGTAAATACATATTTGGGTGGTGTAAAAGGCTATTATAATACAATGTCATTAATCACTATATTAAGATCACCTATGTTCTTTAAATTACTAAAATAGACAATAATAATTCACCACATTGCACAGGATTCAAGCGCACAGCTTCACCCAATTAATTATTCATTTGTTTAGTTATATCATTTATAATTTGAATTATACAACACCACCAATAAACTTCGGGTAATAAAAAAAAAAAAAAAGGTTTTATTCATTAGCCTACATCAGATCAGATTTTTAAAAAAAGATTTTATAAATAAAAACCTAATAGATTGTATAAAAATATAATATAAAGAATTAATAGCAACACAGAAGCGTACAATAAACGATAGAAATGGCAAAACAAATTAAATCCAAATTTTGAACAATGAGTAACATTAGGATAAAATGTCTAAATATGATGTACTGATCGCCGTCAGACGCTGAGCCGACAGATGCGATACTCATCTCCCCACCATCAGACTCTCCATCGCTCATGGCATTTAGTGCTTCTTATACCGCTGCAGCATCCATAAATCACCGCCTTTTACTCATTCTGTCTTTATTTATGAAACCGCTAATTCAGTGAGTGAAAGGCGTGGCCTAGCAATGTACTAAAACATAAGCAGCACAAAAATGACAGCGCGAACATACAGGCATTATATAGCAGGTAAAGTTGACCCGCGCTGGCGCTTATTATAGGTATAAATGCCCCATTTTTTTGATCTGGCTTTATCTAAACAGTTTTTAACAACAGGGGATAGTAAATCACACATTTACAATATAGAGTTATTGTAGAAGTAATCCATGCCAATATTTATATATGAATAAATCTTAAATTATATCATAGTCTCCCAGACTTGCAATAGAGGACAAAAATTAAGAGAATATTAAATAAATATATTATTTGTTCCAAAAATGAGCAGTTTGTATGGGTTTGGAACAACACGGGGGTGAATAAATTATGACCATTTTCATTTTTTGGTGAACTAACCCTTTAAAGAGCAGCCCTCCACGTCCATGACCATTCGTGAGGTATGTGAATGTCATGTCTGTTTTAATGTTTCAGTAAAGAAGTAGCTTTCTGAAAGCAATATTATTTATTTAAACAATACGACATGCCCTCACACTAGTGCTGCATTACAGAGACGTTAAACAACCTCACAAAGAGGCTGAAATGATCAAACAGACTAGTTACCTATCCTTACTGATGTGGATGCACCTCTATCTGAAAATGGATAGATTTTAATTAAATGTTTTCTTTTTTCAAATGTTTTTCGCTTTTTAGGCGTCTGATGAAGAACAGGTGGTGTCTGGGATGAATGCTGGTCAAAGAGGAGCATGTCCTTTCCCCCAAACTGATGCAGCAGTGGTGTTAAAGGAGGAGGCTGCCCTGGATAATGTAGAAGATGCCTTTGCTGTGCTGATGGGGCTTCTTCGTGACTACATCAATTATGCTAAAGAGATCGTGAAAATTGGCAGCGATGCCCGATCTGTATTCATGGACTATGAAACAAACTGTAAGTGTATAATTTGTAAACAACAATGTAGTTATTTTATACCATAAAAAAGCAACCCAGCATGCTGGGTCAGACATAACCCAACTTGTTGGGTTAAAACAACCCAGTGCTGGGTTCGTCCCTTTTTGAGCCAGCGCTGGGTTGCCAAAATAACCCAAATTGGGTTGTTTTTAACCCAGCCGTTTTTAGAGTGTACAGATAAAGCAGCACAGTAAAGATTACATTAATATGAATGCATTAGTGAGAGCGATTGCGTGCATGAATTAATTCTACCTGGCAGCGTCTCTCTCTATTAGTAGTGAAGCTGTGGAATTTACTAGTTATTAAGAAATATATGCTTGAACAGTTTCTAAGCTATTTTGAGAAATCACAGAACAGTGTTGACAATACATTTCCGCGCTGAATGATTCTGTGTGCGTGATGTACGAGTTACTGTCTGTAATGTGTGTGTACGTTACAGTACAGCAGCGCATTAGATTAGAACGGCGATTAACGTACCTGTACAATAAGCCGTTTAAAACGTGCATTCTCCCGTTCAATGTCGAGCATCCAGTAATATAATCACACATGTCTTGTGGAGCGCTTTCAGAGTATGCATTTATTTGTCATTTGAACTGTTTGGAAACTGAGCGTAAACGTGGAAGTCCTTCAAAGATTTCTTATCCTGTTGCGCCCTCTATAGGACCAGCGACTCGTCGACGTCAAGCTTAAAGCGTCATGGCAGAGCACTGAAGTCCACTAGTCGCTGCAACCCCTGGAATCAAATGAAAAATTTATTTAAAGATGATGATTATACCTATTACCCGTTATAAATTAGGGTTGCAAAGGCGTGGAAAATTTCCGGTAAATTTCCAGAAACTTCCCAAAAATCCCTGGAATGTTTCCTGAAATTTACTGGAACTATTATAAATACAATATTTTAAGTTTATTGCAAAACATCGTGGAAGTGGGTGGAGCTAAAGAGGCCCGGACTCTGATTGGTGTGAGTTTCTGCACAGCATCATGGGTAATGTAGTTTCAGCTGTTAAACAATTATTTTTAACGTATCGCAAACAAAAGCACATACCCTCTTCCAGAGCCGACTGGTTGACGCCGTGGTGGTGAACAGGAGACATCTCAATTTGCTCCGATTGCGAGACAATAAACAGTGTTTTCAAAAAAGGGAAAATCATTTTGAATTATTAAAATAATGAATTTGTATTTATTATAGAATAAAAACCCCTTGCTACGTGTAACGTGTACTGCGTTAAGCTAACGGAGACTTGTTATAGCACCTGTATATCATTGCTCTTCTGTGGCTTTGTCCTCATTTGGATAAAAGCGTCTGCTGAATGGCTCGATGTAAATGTGTGAAAAGCATTTTTCATTATGCCCTTCAAAAACACAAGGACGCTAGCAATGCAATGTGCCAATATGCATGTTTCTGGACATGTACTAGGATAATAAACTAAATAACCCATCTCTACAGACTGTTTTTGAACCCTGATGCAGCAGAGCGGCGCAGTAACCAGAGCTGCTGGCCATCATCACGTGACCAGCTCTGGCTCGCATGCTTCCTCACTGATGCTGCTACATGCTACATGCTAACGCTAGTGAGAGAGATTACCAGAGGCTATCCAAGTGTCTGTGGGCTCGTACCTGCTCCGCACACGCTTCACCGGCGTTACTCACAGAGGTCCCCGCGGGGTCCAGTCGAGCCGATATTTATATTTACACGACATTAGCAACCTTTACTGACACACATCGCCATTTCCGTCCAGCACCGCAGAGCGCACCCGCCAGAACGGCCCGAGCGGAAACACGCGCAGCGACTGACTTCCGGCCCCGAGAAACCTCTCCCAGTTATTTAAACTACCCATAATTACCCAGTTCATTACAAACGTGCTCAATTTAATTATAGTATTCCCCCCAGTTGTTTATTTTGTCTTCAGTCTGAAGAAGCAATCAATCATTTATTTTGGGACTGTACTTATTGTAAACTATTCTGGGTTGGCTTTTCCTATTTTGTTAAAAAAATAAAAAAAAATCTTTGAATCTAGACCCTTCTCACTTTGAATTTATTATTAATTTGTTGCTATTTCTTGCCACATTTTACATTCTTAAATGTACATTCTCAAAGAAATTTTCAGGAACATGTGGCTATAAATGTAAACTCTTTAAGAAATTCTAATAATTCTATTGCGTGTGAGGCTCTTTCGCGGTGTGACTCTTATTGATTGTTTCCCAATTACACTTTATTGTTGGCATTCTGTCCAAAATCTCACAGCGGGTAGTGTCTCACACCAATTAGGCCTACTAAACAATACAATAAACGCACCGTAATACAAATACATAAACACACGGCTGCAGTGCATTAGAATAGTGAGTCCTTCCTATTATTATTAATTTGTTGCTATTTCTTGCCACATTTTACATTCTTAAATGTACATTTTCAAAGAAAACTCCTTCCTTTTTTATTTTCAGGAACATGTGGCTATAAATGTAAACTCTTTAAGAAATTCTAATAATTCTATTGCGTGTGAGGCTCTTTCGCGGTGTGACTCTTATTGATTGTTTCCCAATTACACTTTATTGTTGGCATTCTGTCCAAAATCTCACAGCGGGTAGTGTCTCACACCAATTAGGCCTACTAAACAATACAATAAACGCACCGTAATACAAATACATAAACACACGGCTGCAGTGCATTAGAATAGTGAGTCCTTCCTATTTTATAAGCTAACCTAGTATGCCTTGGATTAATGTATCTAACCCTCATTGTCTTTTGTTCTCATTTGCATTTGTAATTGTTTTTCTTTACTGCATCATAATGAAAACAAACTTCTCTCCGCTGGAACAGAGATAGGAAGATATGTATATACCGACGATGGGGCGTTGTGGAAGAGAGGAAGAAATGTAAAGAAGGTAAAGCAAAGAATGTAGAAGGCAATTAATACATTAGTGAAGACTCAGATTCGCTCTATAAAACTCAGGTAATTTTCAAGAAAAAAGACTCAAAGTAAATCTAAGGTATTGGAACAGGTTTCATAAATCTAGTTTCTGGATGTATGAAAATGAAATTTGGATTACATCCTCACAATATAGCAGACAACTATAAAAAGAGAATTAAATTCATCCAAAAATGAGTTTTGTTTTTCTGCTGAACATAAAAGATGATGTTTTAAAGAATGTGGGTAACCAAACTGTTGCTTGTAACCATTCATTTTCATTGTATTTTTATTTCCATACTATGGGAGTCAATGTCAAACGAAGGTGAGTAAATGATGACAAAATGTTTATTTTTGGATGAACATCCCTTTAATATACTCTGATCCTTGGCTGGGACTGATTTGGGGGGTGACCAGATCTCTATAATGAGAATATATACAATAGAGCTATAATAAGATCTGCAATAGACTGCATTCGTTCAGCTGCAGCATCACTGAAAAATAGGTTGAAAGTACACAATCCCAGGCTTTTAGGATGAAGTGCTGCTTTTAGATTGTCTCCAGTGGAAATGCATGGGAGAAATATCTTTGGAAAGCAGGTGAGTATCAACAAAAGGACACCAGAACAACGGATGTTCGTGATGGAATGTGAACAATGAGGCACAAATATGGGAATTTCTCATTTCGAAATTTGTCTGATAGCTAGTGTCAATATCAGCTTTAGCGCCATGATTATTCCCAATGCAATAAGTCTGCATTTGCTGGGGGAAAATAAATGATCATCAGAGAAGGATCTTTTAATATATCTATCTAACATGACCTGATGGCTACATTCCTCAATATGTAAAAGAACTTCAAAATGTTTATTCAGCAGAACGGATTGCATTTCAGGTGGATGGAAGAGCTTCATCCACTAAATGGTTATTTGCTCAGATTCTTTGTCTAGCTTTACAAACTTAGGAAATCTGACTCAAGACAGGATATTCTCACAGAAACCCTTCACATCTTGTTTAGCGTTTAACAACAAGGATTAAAGGTCTTCTTTTTGGCTCATGTGGAGGATAAGAGAAATTAAGTATACACTCTAAAAAAATGCTGGGTTAAATATAACCCAGCGCTGGGTTAAAAGACACCAGAACAACGGATGTTCGTGATGGAATGTGAACAATGAGGCACAAATATGGGAATTTCTCATTTCGAAATTTGTCTGATAGCTAGTGTCAATATCAGCTTTAGCGCCATGATTATTCCCAATGCAATAAGTCTGCATTTGCTGGGGAAAATAAATGATCATCAGAGAAGGATCTTTTAATATATCTATCTAATATGACCTGATGGCTACATTCCTCAATATGTAAAAGAACTTCAAAATGTTTATTCAGCAGAACGGATTGCATTTCAGGTGGATGGAAGAGCTTCATCCACTAAATGGTTATTTGCTCAGATTCTTTGTCTAGCTTTACAAACTTAGGAAATCTGACTCAAGACAGGATATTCTCACAGAAACCCTTCACACCTTGTTTAGCGTTTAACAACAAGGATTAAAGGTCTTCTTTTTGGCTCATGTGGAGGATAAGAGAAATTAAGTATACACTCTAAAAAAATGCTGGGTTAAATATAACCCAGCACTGGGGTTTATTTTGTCTTCAGTCTGAAGAAGCAATCAATCATTTATTTTGGGACTGTACTTATTGTAAAAAAAAAAAAAAAATCTTTGAATCTAGACCCTTCTCACTTTGAATTTATTATTAATTTGTTGCTATTTCTTGCCACATTTTACATTCTTAAATGTACATTTTCAAAGAAATTTTCAGGAACATGTGGCTATAAATGTAAACTCTTTAAGAAATTCTAATAATTCTATTGCGTGTGAGGCTCTTTCGCGGTGTGACTCTTATTGATTGTTTCCCAATTACACTTTATTGTTGGCATTCTGTCCAAAATCTCACAGCGGGTAGTGTCTCACACCAATTAGGCCTACTAAACAATACAATAAACGCACCGTAATACAAATACATAAACACACGGCTGCAGTGCATTAGAATAGTGAGTCCTTCCTATTTTATAAGCTAACCTAGTATGCCTTGGATTAATGTATCTAACCCTCATTGTCTTTTGTTCTCATTTGCATTTGTAATTGTTTTTCTTTACTGCATCATAATGAAAACAAACTTCTCTCCGCTGGAACAGAGATAGGAAGATATGTATATACCGACGATGGGGCGTTGTGGAAGAGAGGAAGAAATGTAAAGAAGGTAAAGCAAAGAATGTAGAAGGCAATTAATACATTAGTGAAGACTCAGATTCGCTCTATAAAACTCAGGTAATTTTCAAGAAAAAAGACTCAAAGTAAATCTAAGGTATTGGAACAGGTTTCATAAATCTAGTTTCTGGATGTATGAAAATGAAATTTGGATTACATCCTCACAATATAGCAGACAACTATAAAAAGAGAATTAAATTCATCCAAAAATGAGTTTTGTTTTTCTGCTGAACATAAAAGATGATGTTTTAAAGAATGTGGGTAACCAAACTGTTGCTTGTAACCATTCATTTTCATTGTATTTTTATTTCCATACTATGGGAGTCAATGTCAAACGAAGGTGAGTAAATGATGACAAAATGTTTATTTTTGGATGAACATCCCTTTAATATACTCTGATCCTTGGCTGGGACTGATTTGGGGGGTGACCAGATCTCTATAATGAGAATATATACAATAGAGCTATAATAAGATCTGCAATAGACTGCATTCGTTCAGCTGCAGCATCACTGAAAAATAGGTTGAAAGTACACAATCCCAGGCTTTTAGGATGAAGTGCTGCTTTTAGATTGTCTCCAGTGGAAATGCATGGGAGAAATATCTTTGGAAAGCAGGTGAGTATCAACAAAAGGACACCAGAACAACGGATGTTCGTGATGGAATGTGAACAATGAGGCACAAATATGGGAATTTCTCATTTCGAAATTTGTCTGATAGCTAGTGTCAATATCAGCTTTAGCGCCATGATTATTCCCAATGCAATAAGTCTGCATTTGCTGGGGAAAATAAATGATCATCAGAGAAGGATCTTTTAATATATCTATCTAATATGACCTGATGGCTACATTCCTCAATATGTAGTCAAAACAACCCAACCGCTGGGCATTTTTTTTAGAGTGTAGTGAGATAAGGCTTTAAAGTACTCAAGAATACATTTTAAAGTGGAAATGAAGGGGTAAATGAAAAAGCAGACGCAAGAAAGGAAGGGAAGACATAGGGAGAAGAAGTGATAAACTTTTGTGGCAAAAGAAGAGATGATGCAATAATTTCTCGCATTTGTATAGGACACAGCTTTGCAGCTTTGAATCAGACTTAAAGAATGCTAATGCATAATACAGGATGGTGCAGCGTAGATTACTGGAAACTGTTGAACACGTTCTTCTAAATGTGCAAGTTATAATAAGCTCGCAGATAAGGTTAATGACATATATGTAGGAATAAAGAGGTTACCATTACAGAACTGTAAGTGACCACTGCTTTATTAGATTAAAGAAATCAAGTTTGATTAAGATTTTTCCTTCTACGTCAGCGCTTCATACTCCATCCCAGCAGGTGGCAGAAATGCACCATAGCTGGTTTGAAAACCATCATTAAATTTAATAGAAGACATTTCTCTGAGTCCAGTAGACAATGCAAAGGCAGACTCTTAGGAAACTCCACAGTCAAAATGATGAAATCCCTTCAATGCAGCACTTTCAACAGCTAATATAACGTCTACCAATACTGGACATTTCATGCATTGTATTTAGATGCTGCGAGAGTTAAACCAACCTCATCCATAGGTGTTTGCCAAATTTGCCAAATGTATGGTGAAGCAACAGGAGACTGAGGCAGAG